AAGAAGGATCCAGACCTGAAACGTCAGCTTTCCTGCTCCTCTGATGCTGCTTGGCCTGCTGTACTCATCCAGCTCTACACCTTGTTATCTCAGATTCTCCAGCATCAGCAGTTCCTCCTATCTCTCATGATCTATGCTTAGTCATCTAATGTATTCCTGTCTGTTTGAGAAAAGATAAATCAAACTGGCTGTGCAAACCTCACATTTTTCAAATTAGTTTACTGGGTTCAGGCATTGGAGGCACGCAATCAGTTACTGCCTGTTCCTATTTGTCTGGAGAATGCGATGACAAGCCAGCAACTAAAACCATTGCTGTGCATCTGGTAAAAATACTTCTAGAGTGTGGTTAAGTATGGAGTTCCAGGATTTGCATCCAGCAAAGCTGAAGGGCACGATTCTTCATGCTGAGACTGCTGCTAGTGTTCTTATGTGTCTGCTGCCAAAATCCTTTTAAGTGGTCGGGGTAATAGATTTGGGAGCTTCTGTCAAAGAAGCTTTGGTGAGTTGCTTACAAATTGTACACACTACCAGAGTGAAGCAATGGTGAAGGTCGTGAATATTTAAAGATTATATACTGCCAATCAAATCGTCTAATTCAAATCTCTGTTTGCTGTCACTGTGTGTAAATAGTTGGTTCAATTCAGTTTCTGGTAATGTAGAGATGGATGTGAAATTTCAAGGTTACCATCTCCAACAGTAGTAGTCTTTTATGTGGGGAATGTGAATATTCAACATTAAATGTCAATGGAAGGTAGTTAGACTCTCTCTTGTTGAAGATGGTCACCATCTGACATTTCTGTGGCGTAAATGTGCAGTCCAAATTTAAATGCTGCTCGGGTCTTTTCGCAAATAGCACCAAACTGCTACATTATCTGAGGACTTATGAATGGAATTGAATGTTGTGTAATCATCAGGAAATTTCCCTTTTTCTGACCTTATGACAGAGGTAAAATAATTCATTAAGCATCCACCTCTGAGCCAGGAGACTGAGATTCAAGTCCCACCTGCTCCAGTGGTGTATAATGACATTTCTGAAACAGGTTGATTAAAAATACCTCCAAAGAGTTCAGGACATTGCCCCAAGGAACAGAATGGGGCTGGAATGATTGTTGTACAACAACCACAACCATCTTCGTTTATGTGAAGTATGACTCCTGCTCTTTGATGCCATATCCTACCAAATGCTACCTCATATGAAATGTAGTCATTCCGTCCTTACCTCCGGAATTTCTCTCTTTTGTATATGTTTGGAACAAGGCTGTCATGCAGTCTGGAGCTAAATGGTGGACACCAAAATGAGCAACGGAGAGCAGGATATTAATGAAGAAGCGCGTTTAACAGATCTATCAACACGACCAACAATTTTCTAAGAATTGAAGTGGATTGCTGGAGTGGTGTTTGGTTGGATTGATTTTTCCTGCTTTTGTCGATAGGATTTGGCACTTTGGCTATGAATCAGAATGGTCAGGGTTGCCTTGTTAATAGGAAGCATCATTAATGGGAAGCCTTAATATAGTGCAATGTGAAGTGGAAAACAGACTAATGAGTCAGTGTCTAACATTATTTTGATGTCTGTATTTCATAATCATATGCAAACCTTATGATATTTTTCATTCATTCACAGGATGTTGGTGTGGTTGGTTATTTCAAGTCATGATTGCCCCACAATGAGCATAAGAATGACCTTCAATTCTTTTGATGAATCAGCTTGGCTCCATGAGCATGTCACTTACCAGAAGGTAATTAATATAAACAATGTTTATGTCTACTTGCAGTACTGAGTATTGGGAGGTTGCATACTAGTAATTTATTGGATTAGGAATCCAAAGGCCTGACAGAATGCACTAGAAACAGGAATTCAAATCTTATCATGGTAACTGGAGAATTTTAGTTCAATTAATACAAATTCTGGAATAAAATGCTAGTAATAATGACCATGAAACCAGAAAGTTGTTGTAAAAATCCATCTGCTTTTCTAATGCCCTTTAAGGCAGAAAATCTGCCATCATTTCCTGATGGCCTATACATGACTCCAGACCCACAGCTATGTGCTTGGTTCTTCACTGCCCTCTAAAAAGACTGAACATTCAGCTCAAATGTATTAAACCATTGCAGAAAAAAAAGCAATGTGGATGTGCCACATGGATTGCAGTAATTCGAGGAGTGGTCAAAGGATCGACAATAAATTATGGCCTTGATAATGATGGTCACATTGTAAGACTAAATATTAATTAAAAAAACTACCACAGTTGGAGTTTGTGGGCTTGGGATGACACATTTAAACAAAATTTTCTACTCTGGAGTGGGTGGATGCTAAAAGAACTCATGGCACTCATCAAAGAAATGTTGAGAGTTCATTTGATGTGCTCCCATACTTCTGTCAAGTAACCTCACCAAAAATAACTTAGTGCTGTTCATAGGATTTACAGTGTGAAAATTAGCTGCCACATTGGTTGATATTTCTCAATTAGTACAATGCAACAGAAGTTATGTAATTGATAATATCTGTTTACAGAAAAGGGAAGAATTGAGGCAATTCCTCTCAGGCAGTGGTGGATTGAGCACCCCATTGTCCACAGTGCCTCATTTCCAGTTCCATAAATTGTTATGTTACCAAATATGTTCTGTGTATCCTAGGTGGCTGATTCAACGTCACCTCTCTTGCATCATTGACACCTTTCACCTGATCCCCACACCTCTAGAAACATCTAGAAAGAGCAACTAATCTATTTTCTCCTCAAGCATTTCTTAAGCACGTTTTTGTACGAGCACCAGTTTTACCGTATAAATAGGTTTACCATTTCAGCTTTAAACTGTTTAGTTTGGAAAGATATAAAGGTTTCAATCCATTAAATAATTTTGCTTCCTTGTTTAAACCACTGACGCATTCAATATATTTCAGAACAGAATTCTGCTCTATCATCGCCATCTAGTGTTGGTGATGTTTAACATATGGCAGCCATCAGCATCTCACATAGATCTGAGGCAATACTGGCAATCAAAGATTGTTTCAGACACCCAAACGCCTTTGCAATTTTGGCGCAGAACCTTATTGTACATATGTGTGAAGAGACAGAGTTGTTGCATGTGTCTGCTGACAGTTAATGTGTATGTGCAGAGTTTCAAATCAATGTGAAGAATATCAGCTTGGCTGACGAAGGGGAGAACAGCATCAGCTTGAACAGTGTTGGAAGAGAGAATGCCAAATTCCATCAAGGTGGGAGAGAGAAAAGTATTAGTATGACTTGGAAGGAAAGATGAAGTTAGAGGTAAAAGTAATGTTTCTCTGTAAGTGTGGGGAAATGGGGAAACAATCATTCGAGAACAAAAACAGAAGTTGCTGGAAAAGCTCAGCAGGTCTGGCAGCATCTGTGAAGAAAAAAATCAGACTTAACGTTGCGGGTCCGGTGACCCTTCCTCAGAACTGATCATCAGAATCACCAGAAATTTCCAGTGATCAACTGAACAATCATTCAAGATCTGCTTTCAGCAACAAGAAATGGCACTTGCCACTCATTTCACTGCCTGCAGCCCACAGATTTTCCTGGTTCATCAGAAATTTCTTCTAATCCAGTACTTTTACAAATGCAGAGGCCTCTCAGAGACATTTGTGGCACGTGTCAGCAGGGAAGGTAACAATGACATTTTTCATCCATCAGACTGAAAAATTCTCAATGAGCTATGTGGAGTCCAAACCAAGAAGGACAAAGCGGGAAATATAAATTAATATTAACATATAAAGATTATTATATAAAGATTAGGAAAAGAGAAAGACAGAACCTCTAAAGTTAATTTTCTTGCAAAAGAACAAGACTTGTAAAAATGTATTTTTCAAAACGATAAATTACTCAGCAGTAATTATAGCTTAGTGCACTATGATATATTTTAATTACTCTGGATACAACATTCATCTGAATGAAGTATAAAGCTGGTTTCAAGCTAACATTTGCTAACCCACCAAATAACTGTACTGCAGCATTGAGTTCTGTTGGTGAACAAAAGAAAATTGTGCAAGCATGGGGGAAGAAAGAATGCATCCTGAATAAATGTCAAAGATAAAATGCACTTTAAGAATAAGGACTTCCCACCTCCTATGATGACACTACTGGACAGGTGAGATCCCAGAATTAAATCTGTCTAATAGATGATATTTTGTTTTTCTTCTTTAATTTAACATGGTGGTCTTTCACTGAAATGTATGAACACCAGGGTGCAGATTTGGTTTTAACAATTAAGCATAAATTCATTTTGCAAAAGAAACAAAAATGATCAAACAAACCAAGTTATCTACATATAACGCAGTTTAAAATATTTCAAACACCTGGCAAAACAAAATCCAAAGATTAAACTATAAATATTAGACCCCCTGTTATAACTACAATTTAATGTTACTTTATCTTTGGATCTATTAATTTCATTTTTTATCTCGATTCTGAACATCTCGCTGACTGATAAACCCTAATTCCATGTAATATCAACCCACAATTTCACTGCATGTTAATACATTTAGCCATTTTCATGTACATGAACAATTACAGTTAATCAAAATCCAAAGAAATTTTCCTTCCCTATCAGATCCACATGTACCTTGACAATTTCTTTTCAGTTCCAATCCTAAAAGCTGCAAGGCCTTTTCCCAAAACCATTCACATCACGAAGAGCTTAGATAACCTCAGACATTTAATAATCTGCACAGCTTTAACCAAACATTCCTGGTCTCAAAGTTTTCACAAACTACAACCCCTACATATAGATAATTTATTCCCTTAACTGCTCTGAACGAGCTCCTTTTCTAGGAGAAGCTATTCTTACACCTGACTTCAGTCAGGTCTTTTCTGAACTGAATTTAAAAGGTTTTTTTAACTAATTTTTTTTAAAAGATGTTTTTCATTCTAGCTTCTGCTGAGATAGTGGTTTAATATTTGTTTTATCCCCTTCTCCTGTCATAAAACCCCAACATATAAACAAACTTCCATTAACCCTCCAGGAGGCCTTCAGCATTCTTCTTTCTGCCTTGTGCTAACTTAAACTCATGGTTCCAAAAAGACTGACCTGGTTAATTTTTAAACTACTTCACAAAAATGACTGATACCTATATGCTACGACTTTGAATCTAAACTCTGAAAAAGAATTTTTCATATATATAAATATATAAAACACACATACATCACACACCTTTCATTTGAGAATGAATTTGTATTGGAATAGATCCTTGAAATTCTTCGGAAAGTTTACACTATCACGAAAAATGCAATGAACATATATGTACTTAAGTGGACCAAATTAAACACTAAATTTAGCAAAGATTTCAAGGCAATGGCTAGTTTGTGAAGCCAGTTAATGGAACAAAATAGTATAGTTGTGCAGTTGTGCAGAACAAAATGTCTCAGAGACTATCAAAGGAATCCAATGCTAATATTATATGTTTTCGATGTTACTTCATCAAACAGTGGCAAAAATGAGTACCCATTGTTACAGCAACAGCGCAGGTGAAATGCCTTGAATTTTGATAGTTCAAGCAAAAAATGGTACAGTGAAGGGTTTGAAAGGACATGAAAAGGCAAGATTCACAGTAATACAAGCCTGCATGGCCAACAAAATGATATTAAAATCATTTTTAATTTAGTTTTCAAATATAAAACCATGTCAAAAACCAAGTTACCTACAGGAATAATTGTCCATGTATGTGAAAATGGCTAAATGTATCAAGAGGGAGTGAAATTGTGGGTTGATAGTGCATTAAATTAGAGCTTATCAGTGAATGAGATGTTCAGATTTGAGATAAACAATGAAATCAATGGATGCCAGTGATAAGGTAAGTTTAAACTGTAGTTATAGCAGAGGTCTAACATTTATAGTTTAATATTTGGATGTGCACCTCAACAAGCCTTTCAAATATCATATCCAGATTGAATAAAATAAATGGATGTTTGATAGAGAAAAACCATTTGCCAAGAGAATGGAAATTTGCACTCTGCCCCATTTCATATTTTATGTGGTTTTGTCATCAAATCATGAGATGCTATTAAACTGTCATTAGATTGTTCAAAAAACACAGAATATCCAATTAAATGGATGGAGAGGAAGATGTTTTATTGTGGTGGTTTCATTCTGGGAGCAAAAGTGACAAACATGCTCCAGAATGGAATCGTTACAAGTATGCATTATACAAGCGACTCAAAACGACCTTGATTAACTCTGTGAATTGGATAGCAAAGAGAATGAGTTTCACAGTTAATAGAATGTTTCAATGTGGTCAAGCATATCCAAGTAGAACTAATTTGGTCAGTACTATTTTGGAAAAGGAAGCAGAGAGGAAACAAGAAAATATAGCCCAGATGGCCTGACATCAGTATTGGGTCCATTATAATAGATTTAATAGCAGTGCATTTAGGGGTGGGAAGAAGGTGAGAACAGGGTACTGAGTTGGATGATCAGCCATCATTGTATTAAATGGTGGAAAAAGATTGAAGAGCTGAATAGCCTACTCCTGTTTTCTATCTTTCAATATATGCATCATACTGTTTTAGTTTGTTTTACCAGTGTCTTTCCTTCACATTTCAAAAATGGTGACCACCTACACCAATACAAGCTTTTTACAACTTGTACATAGCATACAAATTGATCCCTGTTTTTGGAAGGATTGCTGAAGTTCTAAAGGTCAATTTACAATGTGCCTATTTTCACATCAAAGCCATCACTGAATTGACATTTTTCACTCGTTGTCAATGTTTGTTCGATTCCGAGATTGACCTATATGAAGTAAGATACTGAAGGCTAAATGTACATTCTTATCTAACAGTTTATACAAAAAAAAATGAAGCCTACCAATTTCTAACTTAAGTTTTGACTAAAATAATCAAATTAAACAAGTCCCTTTCTTCCCACCAGAACTGATGAGGAATGCCTCATCATCAAAGCCTGCAAATCTAACGTCCGTTACTTTAAAATTATCTTAAAATAAGACAGTGTAACACTACGCAGTAACTTTATTTTCTTAATCCATCAGGTAGGGAAAGGAAATGATTGCAACTGTAGCAGCTGACTGCTTTGAAGAGAAGGGAAGAAGACAGTATTAAGTGTGCTGATATCTTAATCTGACCATTGTTTCTCACCTGAATAGCAGCAAGTGTGTCATTCAGTTGAACTTTTTCTTTGTTTTCTGCTTCTGTTTTCTCACCAAAACCATCATAGTAAACTCCAAAACTGATAAAGATCTGCTTTGATCCAAAGTGTGACAAAAAGTTGTTCAAACAAATTTGATAAAAACCTGAAAGAAATCATGATCTGATTGCCAATGAAATGCAATATTGTCTCAGCCAGTTCTTAAAAATCTTCCTTTAGTATCAACAGCAAACTGTTGGATTTCTGCAGCAATTTTAAGACAGAAAGCATTTTTTTCCTTCAAATTGACTATTTGCTTTGCTTTTACAAATTGCTACCTGTGGTTAATGCATGATAAGATTCAGTGACATCAGCTGCTCCTATGAGCATTTTGGGCATCTATCGGAGACCCAGGATTATGGAATGATCCAAGTCACAGCTAAGTATTGGTGGGAGGGTCTGACGGATGGGAATCACAGGTTAGAGGATGTAGTTGGGTCAGCAACAAGGGCAATGGGTTGGGTTCAGTGGACTCCCTTTAAAAGTGCCATGATTGTTGATCAGGTACTAAGTACATTTGAAGGAATGAGGCCTGTACCCAGAAGACAACAAGCAAGTGCATGTTGCATGACATAATCCTGCTTATAACTGCATTAATACCATTGGTGGCGGAACAAGGCCCTTAGAAGTTAATTAATTAGCCACTCAAATACATTAATTGGCAGCAGGATGGGAAGGTTCCCCACGCACCTTCCCATCCTTGGACTTAAGTGCAGTGGTGGCAGACAGGTAGCCAGCCCAATGAAATCCCTTTCCCACTTCCAATGCACTACCAGAGAGAATAGAAGATTCCACCCTTCCCAGTGCTTCAGGTCAATTATCTTTTTTCATTTGTTTATGTCAAGCAAGTTGAGCAACTAATTGTTGTACAAGTTAATGGTTTTAAAGGAGTTAATATACATGTTGCATTAAGTTCCACTTAATCTGATGATGTCACACAGTCTTTGGCCAGTTGAATTCTGCATGAGTTCCTGACAGCAGCAGATATATATAGCACAGCACGTGATAGTCCTGAGTAACTATGCCTAGCAAGTTAAGGTGAGTGCAAATGCCTCTTTTGTTTAGACTTATCAGTTGACTATCCTCTACTACTGGTAATTAGTCTCAGCATACTGAAAGAAGGCTGTGGTAGTGAACTACCCAAGACTACAACACTAATATGGAGAAATGCACTGTACTCAGTATTTCTGCATGATTAGGTGAAGATAAGTAATAGATTCATAGAATCCCTACAGTGCAGAAAGACGGTCACCTAAGGCTGGAATTGAACCCAGGTCCCAGGCAGCAATGCTAACCACTGTGCCACCATGCTGCCCACGTGACTGAGTGTCTGGAGTTTGCACGTTTCCCTGAGTCTGTATGGGTTTTGGCTGGGTGCTCTGGTTCCCTCGCGTAGTCCAAAGATGTGCAGGTTAGGTGATTTTGGTCATGCTAATTTGACCTATAGTGTCCAAGGGTGTGCAGGCTAGGTGGATTATAAAGTCATACATAGTAAACGTGGAGTTATGGGGATGGGGGTACGGGGTCAGGGAGGATGGGTCCGGGTGGGTCTGGGTGAGATACTCTTTGGATGGGCGGTGCAGACTCGGTGGGCTGGATAGTCTCTTTCTGCTCTATATGCATTCTATGATAAATTTTGTCCATTGAACCAAGTAAATCTGCTCAAAACTGTTGCTCTGTTGTTGACTCGCTGGGAAATAAAATTACTTATTGTTTCATATTGGCCCCGTCTTACCAAGTGCTCTCTCTGTCCATTTGTTGAGATGTTATATTGTAATACACATGAGAAACATGTGCCTATTCAGCTTCACTCATAAATTACAGTCCCAAATTCTGCTTTCATTCAGATAAATAGGGGACACTGTGATTCAATCCTTAAAGGCAAGAAGCCTAGGCTATTCATAGGAACAAAACTGATGTCACTGAATTTTACAATGCCACAAGTGTCAATTTGTGAAAGTAAGGAAGTGATCATTTTGAATGAAAAATAAGAACCTAACACATCCTTTAAGTCGGCCCTGTTCCTCCCCACCCCAATTTTTTTTGGCTTTTCTTGTAAAAACCTCCTTACTCGCAACAGAATTCCCCATATCTCCACTAATAAATTTGAGTAATTTATCAAGAAATGCATTACTCCATGAACTATACAGTAGATCATCAGCTTACCCCATCACAGGATGGAATATTCAATTTTACAAGCTGCTTTATTATTTAACCATAGAATAATAATGGTACAAAAAACACAAAAGACAGATTTAACACAGTACAATCATGAACATTTTACCAGTAGTGTTTACTTGAAATAAGATCACTGTATATACCTGATTCATTTGTTTTGAAATTAATTTGGCCACTTGCTCCTCTGGATGTATCAATCAGGCGCCCAGTGGGTGTATTAACTGTGGCAGTTATAGCTCGGTTATTCTGTAACCCCATCATCCACTGAACCTAGGAGGAATTAGATTTTAAAGAGATGTTTCAAACATATAAAAGACACAATACTGCATTGAGATAATTCTGATTACAACAACCAGAAATCGTCAATAGTTATACATTAATACAGTATCTACGGATGGATCTGAATTGATCTGCAACCAATTTGCAAGTCAGGGCATTATAAAGGAACAAAAACAAGGTTGCTGGAAAAGCTCAGCAGGTCTGGCAGCATCTGTGAAGGAAGAAAGAGTTAACTTTTCCGGTCTGGTGACCCTTCCTATAGTGCATTATAAAGGCCACCCTATGCTGAGGAATACTAGATTAATAATTTTTCAAAATGTAAAATAAGCTAAGTAATAAATGCATGGTCAAATTGCTTGACTAGTAAAGAATATGCGTTCAAATCCCTCCAAGGTAGATTAAAGGAAGTAATTCAGATTTTCAAAGTCTGGAAGTAAGAGGCTAGAATCACTAAAAGAGACCATAAATATCTTTGACTTTGAAAAAGCGAACCCAAATGATTCACTAATGTCCTTTAGTGAAGGAAACCCATCGTCTTTATGGGATTTGATCTATATGATTCCAGTTCCTTTCCAATGTAATTCATTCATAATTCTCCTCTGAAGTGGCCCTGAAAATCAGGCAGTTGTATCAATCTACAACCGTGAATAGCCAAAATGAAACTGGACAGAAAACTTGGCTTTGAGCTGAGTGTGAAATCAGGGTATAAGAAAAACACACACAAACCAGAAAATTCCAGACTTGTTTAAAACAAAACCTAGATTCCCAAACTTTTTTTTTCATTTTTAACTTGTTAGTCCAGCAACATGGCACTGCAGGAGTACAAAAACAAGGAAGAATTGCCAAACTGATATAGGACACTAGTTAGACCTCGGCTGAAGTACTGTGTACATTTCTAGGTGCCACACTTCAGGAAGGATGTGAATGCATTAGAGAGAGTGCAGCAGAGGTTGAGAAGAATGATTCCAGGAATGAGAGAAATTTCAGTTATGAAGATAGATTTAAGGAATTAGATTTCCTTGATAAAAAGAAGGCTAAAAGGAGATATTCCGCTCGCAAAAGGATCGAGAACAAGAGGGCACAGATTTAGAGTAATCTGAAACGGAAGCAAATGCAATTTGAGACAAAAATATTTTCACACAGCAAATAGTAACGACTTGAAGCACTGCCAGAAGTTGAGGTGAATGCAGGTTCAATCATGCATTCAACATGGAAGTAGATGATCGAATAGAAACAATTTCCATGGTTACAGGCAAAGGCGGGAGAATGGCACTAAGTCAAAATGCTCATTCAGAGAACTGGAGAAGACATAATGGGCTGAGTAGCCTTCTTATGCACCATGACAATTCCATGATCCTATGACTTCTCCATGTTGAACACCACCTGGAAGAAACACTTGAGGATAGCAAGGGTATAATCTATACTTCATATGAGGGATGTCATTATCCATCACCAAGTTTCTCAATTGGTCCCAGTGCTCTTCAGGCCTTGGCCAGTTTAGCTGAACTGCTGTAAGATGGATGCCTCTAGTGTCTCATGGCAAAGTTCATGTATATGATTAGCCAGAAGGCACATTAGCACAGTACTGCATTTTTATTCTAATAAGTTCCCTTTTTATACAAAAAATCCCAAAAATAAATTACAGTCATTTAAATTGTGAGTTATCCATAATAAGTAAAGATATCATGCATTAATAGTTCATTATTCTCATCAGTGTCTATGTATGCATTACATACAGCATCTTTAAATCATGACTGTCTCTTAATGATATGTAGGCACATTGTCGTTGGCTGCTAATCTGTGTGATGTTCCTTCTCTGGAGTGTCAATCCCGTGTTAATTTTAATACCATGACACTTTTTATTGCTTCATTTCTATGTTGGTTTGCTGTGAACTTTTCTCTGGGACCGATGGTCTAAACAGACAGTAAGTTCACAACTTCTTGATCAGTTGCTTGAAGTTGAGGAACAACATTTCCAGTTGTACATACGTGCCTATGATTTCCATAGTGTATCTGGTCATTTGCTTCCACTGTGTATGATCATCTGTTCAAAATGACATCTGCTCAATGTAGGTCCCAAGTTGCCACTTGGGTTGTCTGTTCTTGACAGCACTGAAGGTTTGTACCTTGCTTGAATCTCTCCAATGCTCAACTCTGACAATGATTTGGCGGTTTGTCAAAATTAAATTTGAATTCTATTGTTCTACCTTGATTTGGTCTCTCACCCTGTTGCTATATCTTCCTTCTGTAGCTATTCACCATTTGAAGAGTGGTTTGACTGTGGCATGAGATTTGTCTTTGTACTGGCTACTTTCCATCCCTTCCATAGGTATGTTTCTCCACTCAAAGATTACCTTATATGCAGTCTGGATTTACTTGATTTATGACTCATTTGGTGGATATACTCTTGCCCCAAACTTTCCATTTAACTGGGGATAGTGTGAAGATGGCTTATGTTGTTGAATTTTCTGATCCTTTAAGGCTGATATACTCACTCATGAACTGAAGTTCATTGTCACTCATCACAATAATTGAAATGATGAAATGACCAAAGTGAGTTTTCAGGAATTCCACAATGTCACAAGTTACAGAAGAATTCACCTGATCTACCTCTCAGTACGCAAAATAGTCCAAAGTGTCAATATGAACAGTTACTGTGAGACTGAAGAGATCTACTCCCAGCTTCATCCATGTGTGATGAGATGTGCCTTTAAGAGAGATTTGTCTGTTATGGTTCTCTTGAAGAGGGGTGTTGTAAAATCTGGAGTAGAGGTGACTGCTCCATGGAAAGCAGAATAAATAGCTTTGGGTTTGTATTTTAAAGTAGACAAAGAAAGCATGAGTAGGTGTACTCAGGCTTACACAGGGCCAGCATTTAGTTTTGCTTTCAATTGTTGAAGTTAGGATTTTGGAGTTGAAGCTGCTAGATTCAGCTGTCTCTTTGCTGCTGCAAAAGCTTGAATTATCTCTGTGCTGCTAGATTCAGTCTGTTAGTGTTCCTTCTCCTGGAGTGGGGGAAATAGCAAGTGAGGGAAATTTGCTTTGCTGAACTTATCTTTTCTAAGGGTGTATTTATGGAATGCTGCTATATTGGAACAGTTGATGAGTAAGAATTAAAATATATATTATCTCGTTAAGTACTTTGATAGAGTTAAAGTTATGTCATTTTTTATTTGTATTTTAACTATGGTGCAAGAATAAAGTGTGTTTTGCTTAAAGCGTAGTAGTTTGACCAATCGAACATCTTATACTTGCCTTTAAAGGAGATAAAAGTTAGGGTCTAGGCTATTTCCTTGACATGTTTTCAGGTCTGGTCCATAACACATGGTCTATTTGGAATGTCATGTGCCATCAGAATCTCTTCAACTTGTTTAGAATGGTACTTGTTACACCCTGGTCCCTGATTTTATTGCTCATGTGCAGCCAATAAAGCATATAAATTGCCTTCCTCAGAATGCACTCAGTTCCTTGGTGGCTTTCACAAACTCAACTCAATAGGGATAACAACTCTAATTCCTTTGTACAAAATGCCATCTTGTGCTTTCTTCTCTGTATGCCCAATATGCTCGTGACCACAGGGAAATCCTTGATGATTTCAGGCCATTCTTTCATCACTACACTTTACTACACTTGGAGTGCCGGACTCTCGCTTGATTTGATCAAGGCACTAGTATCTTATATTTGATGTCTTCCATGGCATGTTAAGCTGCTGCTTTAAAGTGGATCTGGGAGATTTCATATTCTGAATTGGCAGGCTCAAATTCCTTCATAGGATGTATTCTTCTTGACAGCATTTCAGTGATGTCCATCTGTGTCCCTTATTTGTACTTCATGTCTAGATGGTATCTCTATACCTGGAGTGCCATTCTATGCAGATACTTTGGAGCAGTTAATAGTGGTTGAAGAAATGCTTTGAAGAGACTTGCAGTCAAATTTGACCATATCTCTTCCAAGTGGGTATTAATGAAAATGTTCACAGGCAAATAGTCAGGCACTCTTTCTCTATCTGAAGGTAATGTTGTTCTTTTGGGTTGGATGCCCTGCATGCAAATGCGACTAGATGTCCTTGCTGCAGTAGGATGGCTCCAAATCCTGTCTTGCTGGTATCACACTGCAGGATGACTTAATATTTATGTCATGGTATTTCAATACTGCAATGGCCACGACTAGTTGCTTGATTTTTTAAAACTTCATTCACAGGATGAGGGCATCGCTGGCCAGGCAGCATTTATTGTCCATCCCTAATTGCCCAGAGGGCAGTTCAGAGTCAGCACATTGCTGTGGGCCTGGAGTCACATGTAGGCCAGACAAGGTAAGGATGACAGTTTCCTTCCCCAAAGGACATTAGTGAACCAGATGGGTTTTTCCGACAATCAGTAATGGATTCATGGTCATCATTAGACTCTTAATTCCCGATATTTTATTGAATTCAAATTCCACCATCTGCCATGGCGGGATTCGAACCCGGGTCCCCAGAATTTTATCCCAGTTGCTGGATTAACTGTCCAGCGATAATACCACTTGGGCCATTGCCTCACCATTTTAATGAACACTGTTTCTTGTTCCATGCCCCAATGTCATTGGCAGTGGGTTGGCATAATGGTTTATACTCTGGCGACAAGCAAGAATTTTGTCAAATTGTTGATTAATCCAACAAATCAGTGCACTGATTTTATATCTGTTGTTCACTGAATTACTGCTACAGCTCTCATATTTTCAACATCTGGATGAAGATACTTTACTATCAGTACATGACCTAAGTGCTTCACTTCAGGCATCTTTCATTGAACTTTTTCCTTGGTTCAGGTTCATCTGGAAAGCTTCCTCTAATAGTCATACTATAACGTTTTTTTAAATCATGGTCAGCAATGACTTCTTCCATTGTATCTCTGCATCCATACACTGGCAAACCATCCACCATAATTTCAACACTGGGAATATCATTTGAATCTTACATCATCTACATTGACTCTGCTGGAGCCATGGAAATACCAAGGGCACGCATGATTGTCTATATCTTTCAAAGTTTGTCCAGAATGTAGTGAGAAAGCTGTTGCTTTTATCCAACTTCATTTGTCAGTAATCATCCTGCGCATCTATGGTAGTCAAGATTTTTGCCCATGTGAATTATGTCAAAATTCCTTAGATGGTTGACATGCAATAGTGAGATCTCTTCAGAGGTTTATTCAGATCCTTTGGGTCAATGCATATTTTCCAGGTTGTTTTACTGCTACCGCACTGCTAATCCAGTTTGTAGAAGTTGTCACTTTCTTGTTTACTCACTTCTTTACCAACTTCTCTATTTTTCTTTCAGTCTGGCCTTGAGGACAGCTAGAACTTTACTTGGCAGAGATGTGATTATATTCTCCAGGAAGATATCCTAAACCTGTAAATACATCATTGTGCTCCTCTAGAACCTGTTTCATAAATGGTTTGTGTTCTGCAACATGTTACAAATTTATTCTGGTACTTGAGGGATATCAGTTTTAGACTTGCTAACGTTAAGGTGAGTGGCTCTTATTTGCCATCTATGATTTGGAACTCCAGGCCTTCATTCTTGTCATAGCCAAATGCAATCTGTGAAATCTGTATCTGAGTATAATGTCATCATGTAGCCTCAGACTTATTTTTGCAGGCTTCATTTTTGGATCACTATGTTGAACTATAACACAGAGCTAATGATATTGTATGATACTTTATGGTGACTTCATGATTTCTTTCTGCAGTCATCATTCCAACAGTCACAAACCATTTATCCCTTCTTGACCTGTTTGATGCAACCTGCTATAGAGTAAAATATCAGTACCTGTTGCTGATATCTCCCTAGTGACAATCTGTACCTACATGTCGTGCTTCTGTCTAGCCAAACACTTTTGTACAAAATTATTCAACATTTGCAGTGAGTACATGCTTTTCTGACATCGGACATGCCTTCTTTTCTGTGTAATGTTCTCTGCAGTATTTGCTTCCTGTCCTTTGTCAATGATCATTCTGCCTTTTTGCCCTGGAATGTCTGTCAGGATAACGTATGGTCTGGTCTGTTCATAGATCATGGAATCCCGACAGTGTGGAAGCAGGCCATTCAATCCATAGAGTCCACACCGACCCTCCAAACAGCATTCCACTCAAAACCTTAATATTAGGACTGATGAAAGGATAGTGGTCTGTAAGCCTTCTTAACTACCCTATTAACCTGTCCTGTCACCTTCAGAGATCTGTGGACAAGCATCCCAAGATCCCACCGTTCCTTTGCTGGAAGCAAATTGCCAGTCAAAAATCGTAGTTAAACAAGAAACCAGACAACTCCTTACAGCTCCAGTTCTGAAGAAGTCATACCAGACTTGAAATGTTAACACTATTTCTTTCTCCACATATGCTGTCAATTTCTCCAGCATTGTGTTTGTTTCAGATTTCCAGCATCTACAGTATTTTGCTTTTATAATGTCTTACAGCTAAGTTGCATATCTGCATAATCACCAAACCTAACTGCCAGAGATGGTTGGGGGAAGGGGACAGTTTGGATTTTTGATTAAAGTACGGGAGGCAGTTCCTGCTCCTCACCCAAAATAAAACAGCCCTCACCAGGACCCGATCATAACATGTCTAAAGATGTCTTTACTGAACTGCTGTAAAATGGATGACTTCACTCAGTGTCTCATGGTAAAGTTCACATGACTATAGCAAGCCAGGAGGCACATTTGTACTAATGCATTTCTAACTCAAACGTTAATGTGAAGACTCCCACAGCAACTTGCTCCTCATTGTCTATCACTTTAGTCCCATTTCTGGTGGGTCTGGCCTGTCAGTTGGCAAAACATATCCAGGAATGGCAAATTGAAGGGTCTGTCCATTGGCTAGAAAGTATTATTCAGCGTGTATAACTCTGTCAGGCTGCTGCTTGATTAGCCTGTTAGACAACTCCTCCAATTTTGCTCCAATTCCCTCAATATTAGTAAGGAGGACTTTGTAAATTATAATTAGATTGGGTGTGCCTTTGTTGTTTCCAGTGACTAGGCTAATGCTGAGTGGTCCTTCAGTAACTTCAGTTTTATTCTTATTTAACGTCTCTGTATTGCTTTAGTACAATGAAGTGGCTCGCAAAGCAATTTCAAAGGGCAGATCAAATTCAAACACATTGCTGTGTGTCCGGAGTCACATGTCGGCCAGTCTGGTCAGGATACAGATTTGCTTTCCTAAAGGGAATTAGTGAACAAGGAAATAGGGTGGATAATTGGGATTCATATGACTTACTGGTGTACAGGGTAACTATTGACACAAACCACTTGTTTTTTGTGTTGTAACCTTGTCTTTTTATGTGTCAATGCTACTTGGATGTCAGAAAGAGAGTTCTAATTTGTCAGTAACTTAATTATTTAAACAGAACATAACTTAAGAATAACAATAGATTCAGATGATCTCCACTCCTAATATTAAATTATAACAAATAAATACTCAACAGGTCAGGCAGCAACTGCAGAATGAAAAATAGAATTCATGTGCAAGGATGAGAACATTCCATCAGAACTACAAATAAAAGGTCATCAACACGAAATGTTGACTTAGAATTAGAATTAGGTTTTATTGTCACGTATACTCAAGTATAGGAATACATGAGTACAGTGAAAGTACAAAGGTGCCATCTTGGTTACAAAACCAGAATTTAAAAAACAGAAAAAAATTTAAGAGCAAAAAATTAAGAAAACACCCAGATCTTAACGTCGAAGGTTTTACTTCCATAAAGGTGTTTGGAATGCTCAGCCACCGATGCTGGAGTGTTGCCTGACCTGCTCAGTAGTTTCTGCTTTTACTTCAGATTTCCAGCATCTGCAATATACTGCTTTTAAATTTGAATACATTGAAACGTTTAACATAATTCTTTTTGACCACTCATCACAAGAATTTTTAAAATTTATTTCAACCATATATTTTATTTGAAAGTAACAACAAAAGCAGGAAGAAATGCAAGATCCTACCTCATAACTGAAATAAAAATAGCCTGCCTTGTCTGCATAATGCCAGAAACATTCCTGCCCACCTCCTGAGAGAACGATGGAAAAGTCATATTGATCAGCACCACGAAAAGTACCAGATTCATTAGAACCATCTATTGGCTTGGTATTTTGAGATGTTCCATTTACAAACAGGGCAACACACACGTACATAACTATAACACCTTGTGCAGACATTTTACTGTAGTGATGTATGGAGAATTCCCACAAGCAGAAAACTTACAACTTAGGAAATTATTAACTTTTTATCTCATCTTTGTGGCATATTAATCCTACTCAATGTCTTTTGCACCTGTGAAATATACATTTTAAACAATCATCCAAAAAGATCCTATTGCTGAACTGAAAATTACGCAATCTACACAGAAGCATGACTTACATCTTCATATTACTCTATGAGCTGATTGAAGAAAAAGATTATTTTTAGCATCCTCTAGGCTTGAAAAGAGCCTTATAATCTTATAAGTAGTGCTCAACGGTTACATTAACAATGACAAATGTAAAGCAAATTCTTCTGATCACAATGCCTTATAAGCAGATTGCAAATTGCAATGATATTTAATTTGTACTTGAATTTACAATAAAGCTAGTATCAATATATTTGGGGGGGGTGGTGTGGGAAAGAAAGGTTGAGCTTTACAATATAACCTTATGGACTTGAATCTCTACAGTATGGAAACAGGCCCTTTGGCCCAAGAAGTCCACACTACCTCTCTGTAGAGCATCCCACCCAGACCCACTTCCCTACCCCTGATTTCCCCATGTCTAACCCACCTGACCTAAACATCCCTGGGCACTATGGGCAACTTAGCATGGCCAATCCACCTAGCCTGCACATCTTTGGACTGTGGGAGGAAACTGGAGCATCTGGAGGAAACCCACACTGACATGGGGAGAATGTGCAAACTCCACACAGACAGTCACCTGAGGCTGGAATTGAACCTGGGTCCCTGGTGCTGTGAGACAGCAGTGTTAACCACCAAGCCATCGTGCTGCCCCTTTCTGCACATATTCCTGAGAAGTAATTTAAAATGCAAATTTTAGCTGCTAATTTGTCACCCCTCACCATATTAAAAGAAGAGCCATAAAAACCATAATAGCTCCAAAACGTGCCAGCCTCATGATGTGACTTCAAACAACGTCATTTAGAAGAATAGTCATAGTTTGATACAATATCAAACGTTCCCTGAACTGCATATCAATTACATTAGCTTCAACCCATTGTGGAGATGATAAAATACATGATACTGTCATCCTATGACTGAAATGGCTGGAGAAAGAGTTCACATCTTAATCAACCAGGACAGCCGAGCAGGTCAGTGTGGGATCTATAGGCAAGAAGGAAGCCATCTCTCACTCAACACCAGGGAGGACACTTTCTTAAAAGTCACCCTAGGCAAAGTAGAGAGACTTATTTGTTTTACCTACAAGATTTTATTTCTTCACTATATGAGCTCAGATACAACTTCATTTAAATAACCATTGTCTCTAGTGATCCAAGAAAAATAACCTTCAAATGTACAACATTCTAACCACCACCCCAGGGGCTACGTAATCAAGTGACTTATTTCTTTTTGAGGTAGTAGGAACTGCAGATGCTGGAGAGTCTGAGACAACAAGGTGCAGAGCTGGATGAACACAGCAGGCCAAGCAGCATCATAGGAACAGAAAGGCTGACGTTTCGGGCCTAGACCGTTCATCAGAAATTTATTTCTTTTTCTTCTGTTATCACTGTAAATGCATGCTACATCTTAAGAAATCATCTATTGTACGTGTTTGTATATCTGGTGTGTGTGAAGAATGAGATTGAGAAGTAAACATTTATCATTTCCCTTGTTTTGTGTCAGTTCTGTAAAGTCAGAGCAAACATCATTAAAACACTCCTCTAAAATACATCATCTTGTAGTCATCTGAGAGATGAGAAAAGGGGGAAATTATTCTACGTCTCTCCCATTCCATCCCATCTTTTCAGTGATTTAAGTTAGGTGAATGAACCATAAAATGGAGGCAATGAGAATTTGTAGTGATGGAATTAATTCAACTGCCATTGAATTAAATTTAAGGTATTGGGTTGGGAAATATTAAATCACTATATTAAAAATACTTAGCCATGTTTTGGTTCATAAGTTTGGCTTCACTGTATTTTTAAAGAAAAATGTGTACAACATATCTGAAAAGTGAACAATTCTGCCCTCTGTTGGCCTGCATTTATTCAGCATAGTACACATGGAAAGGTACAACTGACCTGTGACTAATTAACATTGCCACCATTGAGTTCTCAAATTAATCTTGGTCATGAATTTTCATTTGATCTTGTTCGAAGCAAGGCCATTCCAACATTGTGGATAGTCACACAAGATGTTTAGCTACTTGAATGAGATGACAGACCTGCGTATAGACTATGAATTCTACATGAATGACTATTTTCAAGGGAGATGGGAAGAAAATTAGTGCAGCAAATACCAATGATAAAAGGGGGAAAGAGACAAGGGGGAAACAAAGAGGCAGATAGGGGGCTATAAATAATTGTGGGAGACAGCAGGGAGGAGGAAGACTGGGGGCAAAGGGCAGTAAGTGGAAGCCAGCCAATGGAAGTAGAATGGAGAAAAACAGTAAAGGCAAAGGGAGTATGACAGGAGAAGAAAGGATGGATAAGGGATCAGGTTGGAAAGGGAGGAAGGAGACAGTGCGTGCATGGAAGAGAATGTGTGAAGATAACAAAATGCAGAAAGAGGAAGGAAAAGATACTGGATTTGGGGTTAAAATAGTTCGGTGATTGTTTTTGATTGGTGCAGACTCAACGTACCAAAGAACCTCTATGACTCCAAGATGAAGCAATGATCAGGGAAGTTGGTTCCGTGTAGGTGATAGACTTTTATAATGGGGTGGAGGAGCACAAATCCAGTTTGGCGGGGGGGGGGGGTTGATTCTGATTTTCATTTTCACTTTACTGCTCAATAGGTACATTGTAGTTTACTTCCAGAAAATCTCATGGAAAGGGTTGAGAGCTAGGATTGCGTTCTTTTTGGCAGTGCAGGATCGGAACTAATGCCTGTAATTTTGTATAAGTAATAGAGGTTTCGGCAAGGCCACAATAATTTTTAGAAGGCACCAGTTGATGGAAAAAGCAATAAAGAGGGAGAAGATGAAATGAGAGTAATATAAAAGAAGATTGCAAGAGATTTTTTTTAAGAAGATATCCAAAAGATAAGAGAGGGACTAGGGTGGACACTGGACTGCTAGGAAAATGAAGCTGGTATAGTAGTAATGGGTAACAAAAATGGCAGTGGAACTGAACAGATACTTTGCAACAGTTTTCACAGTGGAAGACACCAGCAACATATCAGAACTTCATTAGAATCAGGGGGCAGAGGTGAATGTAGTAGCCAACACTAAGGAGTTGCTGGGGAAGCTGAAAAATCTGAAGGCAGATAAATGACTCAGATGGACTACAACCCACAGTTCTGACAGACATTGCTGAGGAGATTATAGAGGCATTGGTGGTGATCCTTCAGGAATCACTGGAGGTGGGGAGTGTCCAGAGGACTAGAACGTGGTTAATGTAACACCCCTGTTTAAGGAGGGAAGGAAGGAAGCAGAAGAAAGGAAATTACAGGTTGGTTAGCCTGTTCTTTGTCATTGATAAGATTTTAGACTCCATTATTAGGGATGAAATTGCAGACTATTTGGAAGCATATAGTAACAAAGGGTGGGGTCAACACAACTTAGTCAAGGGGAAATCATGCCTGACAAATCTGTTAGAATTCTTTGAGGAGAAAATCAGCAAGTTGGACAAAGACAGCCAATGGACATGATCTATTTGGATTTCCTGAAGGCCTTTGACAAGGTGCCACACAGAAGGCTGCTAAATAAGGTAAGAGCCCATGGTGTTAGGGGCAAGGTACTGGCATGGATAGAAGACTGGCTGACTGGCAGGAGGCAAATAGTGGGGATAAAGAAGTCTTTATAAGCATGGCAGCCCATGACTAGTAGAGCTCCGCAGGGGTCAGTGATGGGACCACAGTTATTCATGTTACACATGGATGATCTGGGCGAAGGAACTGAGGGCATTGTTGTTACGTTTGCAGATGACACAAAGATAAGTGGAGAGACTGGTAGTGTTGAGAAAGTGGGGGGGCTGCAGAAGGACTTGGATATGCCAGTTGAGTGGGCAAAGAAGTGGCAGATGGAATACAATGAGGCAAAATGTGAGGTTATACAGTTTGGTAGGAAGAAGAGGCATACAGTAAGTTTTAAACAGGGAAAACCTTTGGAAATTCAAAGCACAAAGGGACTTGGGAGTCCTAGTTCAGGATTCTTTTAAGGTTAATATGCAGATTCAGTTGGCTGTTACTAAGGCAAATGTAATGTTAGTATTCATTTCGAGAGGGTTAGAAAATAAGAACAGATGTACTGCTAAGGCTGTAAAAGGCTCGGGTCAGACCATATTTTGGACTATTGAGAGCAGTTTGGGCCCTGTAAGGAAAGATGTGCTGGAGTTAGAAGGGGTCCAGAGGATGTTTACAAGAATGATCCCAGGATGAAGGGCTTGTCATATGAGGCATGTTCAAAGACTCCGGGTCTGTACTTGATGGAATTTGGCAGGATGAGGGGTGATCTGAGTGAAACATACAGGATACTGAGAGGCCTGGATAGAGTGGACATGGAGAAGGTGTTTCCACCGGGAGAGACTGAGGGGCACAGCCTCAGGTTGAAGGGATGACCCTTTAAAACTGACAGGGAGGAGGAATTTCTTCAGCCAGAGGATGGTGACTCTGTGGAACTCATTGCTGCAGAGGGCTATGGAGGCCAAGTCATTGAGTGTTTTTAAGGCAGAGATAGATAGGTTCTTGATTTGTAAGGGGATCAAGGGTTACAGGGAGAAAGTAGGAGAATGGGGCTGATAAATATATCAGCCATGATGGATGGTGGAGCAGACTATAGGCTGATTGACTTAATTCTGCTTCTGGAACTCATGGTCTTAAGAAGCATAACACTCGAAATTAAAATACAACATCCATTGTTTTCATTTATCAAACTGTTATACCCATAATGTGCAAGAATCCTTGATTTGAGAACTCCAAGTTGTCTCAATTTGTCACTGCAGTCAATTGTACCTTCCAATGTGTATTTCATTCAGTAGAGGCAAGATTTTTTAATTTTCAGATCCATCATAAATCTTTCCTTTTAAACTAAAAAAGCTCAACTTATAAACCAAAACAAAACTGAAAGGTTTTTCTTTCCATCGTAATTTAATATTTATCACACTTCACAGCTTAATTTTATTAAATGTGATTTGATCTAACTAGGGTAAATTGTCATCATCATAAATTTATGTTTGATTCTCTAACACATTATTAGCGATATACGCTTTACTACAGATCTAAGTATATTTGACAAATATGAAAATTGAATAAGAAAACAGTTCCATTCACTAGCATCACAGTTTGATAATATTGTGGTATCATGGTTAAGTTATTAGACTAATGATGTGAAGAAGGGAGTTCAAATCTTATAACTGCTGAAGAATTTAAATGTAATTAATTAAATAATCAAATCTAAAAGTTATATTTTATTGTTGTAATTGGAACCATAAAACTCATCAAGCTCACCTTTTTGGGCAGTGTTCACAATTGGGCCTACAGAGCCTTTGGGTACATTGTGAAAAGTATCAGTTTGTACTTTCAAAAAAAAGCGTTCATGGGATGTAGGCTTCGCTGACTGGGCTAGCATTTATTGCCCTTGAGGAGGTGATAGTGAGCTGCCTTCTTGAACTGCTGCAATCCATTTAGTAACATGGGAACAAGAACAGACCATTCAGATCAAGCTTGTTCCATCAGTGAGATCATGGCTAAGCTGTGGCCCAACTCCATAAACCTGCCTTTCGCTCATATCTCTAATATTTTGCTGGACAAAAATCTCAGATTTTAAATCTAACACCTCATCCAGACTCCAGTGCCAGTGGTTGAAGAGAATTCAAAACATCTACTACCCTTTGTAGATGTGCTTCCTAACATCTCTCCTGAATAATTCTGACCCTAATTAACAGACTGTGCCCCTTAGTTCTAGGGACCCTGACCAGTGGAAGTAGTTTCTCTTACCCTGTCTTGTTAATATCTTGGAGATTGATCAGATCATCCCTTAACCTTCTAAATCCTGGAGAAAACAGACCTAATTTGCATAACCACTTCTCATAACTTAACACCTGAAGTCCAGGTATCATTCTTGTAAACTGTGTTGTACTCCCTCCTAGGCCAATAAATCCTTTTAAGGTGCATGTTCCCAGCACTCCAAATGGGGTCCCAATCAGGGTTTTGTATAACTACAGTATTACATCTGCATTTTGTACTCCAGTCCTCTAGATGTAAAGGCCTGCATTGCTGAGCTTTCTTTCTCAATTATTTTCTTGCTGTAGGCAGACCCACATTGACATTAGGAAGGGAGTTTGAGCCAGCCACACTGAAGGAATGGCTATATATTTCTAAGTCAGGCTGGTATGCAGCTTAAACAGAAACTTACAGGTGGTGGTGTTCCCATGTATCTGCTAGTCTTGTCCTTCTAGGTGGTAACATTCATGGTCTTGGAAGATGCTGTCTAAGAAGCCTTGGAGAATTTGTGCAGGGAAGCTTGTAGACTGTACAGCTGATACTGACAGTCAATGGTGAAGGGAGTGTACATTTATGGATGTGGTGCCAATCAAGCTGGTGATTTTACGCTGGATGGTGTCAGGCCTGATGATTGTTGGAGCTGCACTCATCAAGTCAAGTGGGGAGTAGTTCAACACACTCCTGACTTGCGCCTTAGAGATATTGGACAGTCTTTAGGGAATCAGGAGGTGGAGTTACTCACTGCAAGATTCCTAGCCTCTGATCTGCTGTTGTAGACACAGTACTTACATGGCTATTCCAGTTCAGCTTCTGGTCAATGTCAATCCCTAGGATGTCGATATTGGGAGATTCATTGATGGAAATACCATTGAATGTCAAGGGACAATGCATAGTCTACTTGCCTAAAGCTAGCCTTGAGATTTAGTGAATAAATTGAACGTAGAGCTAAAGGAGGTTCTCATAAGGATGATATGCTTAAAGTGATACCCCATCATAAAGAATTAGAAAGTAAGGAAACCCTAAATTGATAAGTCACCATTAGAACTAGGTAAGATGTCAAGTTTTTTCAGATTTTCTACGTGCGCTGTACAATGTAAACACTTGAACCTATAGTTGATACATGTCCAAGAACAAACTCCAGGAAGCAATGACTTGACAATTCTCACTGGAGATTGGTGCTTTGCAAAACTATATGAGGGGATAGAAGAATGCTACATCTCATTCAAATATTAATACTTATACCAAATCTAAGCTGTATGTGGTCACTAAAATAATCTAATAGAAGTTTTTGAGTGTGTAAAGGGCAGACAGGTGTCACAGTATTTGAAATATTTGACTTTAAGAAACATGAAAAAATTTAATCAAAATAAGTTGCTTTTAAATTTAAAACCCATGTCATAAAGGCTAAGAATAGCAGTATAGCCTTGTTCCAAACATGGACAAGAGAGCTGAATTGCAGACAGTGACTGCCCTTGATGTCAAGGCATCAATTTAATCACCTCCAACAGAAGAGATCCAAATTGTGCTTCCCCTAACATTCAACAGCATTACCATTGGCTAAACCCCTACGATCAGCATCTGAGTTAGCACTGATCAGAAATTGAACTGGACATGCTATATAATTACAGTGGCTGTTAAGAATAAGTCTAACGTTGGGAATTCCATACTCAACATTTTATTATCCAAAGACTATCATGCGTAAAACAGCATACTTGCCATTTACTTAGATGACAGCAGTTACAACAATGCTCAAGCAGCTTTATACCATTCAAAATAAAGCAACCCACTTGATTGGCAACTTGTCCACAATTATTAACATTAATACTCTCCACCCCCAGAGCACAGCAACAGATCTGCAAGATGCAATGTGGCAATTTGCCAAAGCTTCCTGCAGTATCTGCTAAACTCGTAACTTGGAAGGACAAAGGCAGACATTTTATTCCAAAAGGTGAGGTGGTAGTGCAGTGGTAATGTCACCGGATCAGTAATCCAGAGACCTATGCTCTGAAGACATGGGCTCAAATCCCAACATAGCAGCAGGTGGAATTTAAATTAGATTAAAAAATAACAAATCTAGAATATAAAGCTAGTCTCAACAATGGTGCCATGAAACTAAACAAATGTAAAAAATACATCTGATTCTCTAATGTTCTTCAGGGAAAGAAATCTGCCACTCTTGGCTACTGACATACATCCAAACACGCAGGTAATATTGTTGATCTGAAACAAATGGCTGACGTTGTCAGTGAAACACATCCTATGAAGGAAAAAAGGGAAAAATAGATTCAGAGGTGACCTGAAAAGTCCACTCCACATTATTCATCAGCCTGATTTGGAGCTATATTTTTGTTTCTTCACCACAGAACACCTCCTCCACTGCCCCAACAGCAATTCCACTTAGACTATAGTGATTCAAAAAGGAAGCTTGCCACCAGATCAAGGACAATTAGGGATGAGCATTTAAATGTTGGCCTTACCCGTAATACTCTCATCCACAGAATAATTGATACAAAGTGTGGAAAGTGAAATTACTTATAAGCAGGCAGGAAAGTACAGCAGCATATAGATGTACCTTAGGCTGGTGGAATGATCCAGCTGCGATTGTATTTACAAAAGAGGTCAAGGCACTCATTCAATGAATATAAATAAGTTAAGCTATTCGTTCCTTATTTGACATGAATTACTTCTGTGCCCAAACAAGAACTGCATTTGCTTCAATATGTAATTCTAAAACTTTGAAGTGCTTTGGGGTGTTCTGATGAGATAATAAAGCACCATGTAAAAACAATCTTACTTCACCTTCCTTTTATCATTTTGAACATCAAAATCAAATTCCCACCAATACAACAAATACAGATTTTACTGCTCTCATTGTAACTTGAGCTAAGACAAAATAAATAGAGGCACACATCAGCAATGTGAAAATATATAATTTATTTTCAATGTGTTTCCAAGCATGTGAATAGCAAAAAATATTGAAAAGGTAGTTTAATAATTGGAAACAAAGTTATCTGTAACAGATTATGGGGTGGAAACATGGAGTGCCTAAATCCTTTCATTGGATTAAAAAAACATGGTGAAAATGGTGTATCTTGGATCAGTTGAGCAATTATTTAATGTGAAGTGACCGGCAATGCATTTTTAAAAAAATTCTAATTGTGAAATTTCAATGAAAAATCAAATTAAGATTTCCACATTTCCACTACAAAGCCACAAAGATCAGAAACAATCTTTCAGGCAGATATAGATACCGTACAAGCGGCCGATACATGTTTTAGTTAAAAATCACAAAAACTTTTTTGTTAAATAAGCAATGCTAAATTATAGCAATTTAGAAGTATTCTTATCTGCATTGCCATAATTGTGCAAAAGATAACTTTATTAGTTTCATAAATTGGAAGCTAAAAAAAAGTAAGGCAGCTAACTGCTGTTTGTACATTTTTGTAATTACTGGTAGCAATTCCTGCAGAGTACTGGCATGATTAAAACTATCTGCAATCCACGCAAAAAAGTGAGACATACAGTACTCTCTATACCACAACTATTTAAAAAAAGTGGAATTTAAAAGTTGTTGCTACTTTACTGTCCTTAATGAGATCATGAACAAGGTCACTGATTTATGATTTTTATGGAAAGATGGACAGAATGCCATAATATGGCCTTGAAAACACTGATAAAAATGCTGGCAAACTCCAGAACATGCAATAAAATTATGAATTTGACTTAATTATCCAGTTTTTCCCAGCACCGCCATAGTATTTTGTGGGTTTCCTGGTAGCAGGTGATGAAATTTTAATCACTTGATGTCTCCCAATCAAGTACCTCATGGAACATTTTCTGAGTCTAATACTAATAATGGAAATGTGTTACCTAATGCATCTGCCATTGTTGGGTTATGTTGTAAGACAGAGCTGCACAAATGCTACAATAAGTCATTGCAAAGTGGATATGGTTAATAAAAATTAAATTTCTTCACCAGCAGTGCCAACCATTATGATTTGGCAAACCCTTCACTCCACAACTAATAACAGGACTGCTTCCAGATCAAACAATTCAAGCCAACCATCATAAAACTTCCAATGTTCCAAGTCAGAATGAATTTGTTAATAAAATCAAATTTATATAAATCTGGGCCTGAGGTTGCACTGCTGGGTTTTTACTTATGCTGGAGATCATGTTGTTGATATTTATCTATAGAAGATGACTAGTGTCCAAAGATTACAGGGAGGTTAGTGGGGAATTTTGCACTTTTTATTGTCTTACAATTATTCTTTAATGTCAGACTATTGTGTACAATTGCATTTGAAGTATTACTAGCCAAATACAATTGACAATATTAAAGCAAACATAAAGAACATCGACTAAATATTTCACTGGAAAGAATAAAAACTGGCTTAATTCTTCAAATCACTTACTAAACACAAAGGTAAAAATTTCCACAAAACCATACTTCTTGAATGCAAGGAAAGGTATGTGAGGGCACCAATTCCAACAGAAAAAGGCCTGGCTTTCATTGCAATCTAATTTTAAGTAGACAGTCAGTATTCTTGTACAGTACAAAACCAATAGGTTTTGCATATCACATAATGCAACTAGGGCAAATGTTTAAGAAGTTCAATATTGTCTTTTAAGTCATTCCAAGCTTTTGCATTGTTCGCCATCGATCTTTAATCATGACACCCGTGCGATCACAAAATGGGTAATGTTTTAGGATCTTCTGCCAATTTCCTAATCCAAACTTTTTTACACCCAATTTAATCCATTCACTTTCTTCAACCGTCCATTTCTAAAACATGAATTTAAAATAGTGCAAATTAGAAAGATTCTCATGACTGGATACAACATAACATAATAAGTACTGTATTTAAAGGCTTGGACTAGCTAGGCCAGAAGGTTAGTTTCTCATTCACCAATTGCACCATAGAACAGGTAAATCAAGACTTAAATGGAAAATATTCATGATTACAGGTTATTTCAAAGATGATGTCAAAACAGCTGAGCATTAGTGATCCTTAGTGACTTTCATCAGCGTAGCAATTCAATCTAATATTTATAAAAATGATACATTTTATCAAAATAAAGCAAACCTTGTTGAAGTGGCCATTCTTTACAGCTAAGTCTAGACACAGTAAATTGGTAGATGAATTGATTTTTTTTGGGGTGGAAAGGAGAGAGCGAGCGAGCGAGAATGTAATATATCGCACCAGATATCCACAAGTGCACCCTCCTTGAGGCATGGGATGTAATAGTTGTGGCATATTTCTGGATCAATTAATTCAGCAAAGACAAATCACACCCAAGGACTTCTGATCCATAATGTACATCTACATCGTCTATATCAACATCAAGGGAGTAAAACATTTGCTTTAAATCTATATTTTACCCCTTTTTATCTAGGTTCAAAGAATTACAATTTTCAATTCTGGAATTGACTGACACCCGCATGCTGAAAAGCAGGCACAGACAGAGATGACTAAGAGAATATGAGCTGATGAAATTTGATCAGAAGAAACTGGGTCCAGTGCTGGAAAAGATTCAATAAACTTACTCTTCTGGCAAGGTGAGCATAATACCAGGTCCTCATGACAGGCAACTCATTCAAGGGCCCATAATGCCTAAGAAAAGGCACTAACTGGAAGAAAATTGCCTAACCTACACAATGCAACTGGCATGGAGGGGTAGGAATGGAGATTGTCCAGATGTCTGGAAAGAAAATGAGATGGGCACCCTTATTAGTTTTGAGGAAGGGTCACTCGACCTCAAACGTTAACTCTGATTTCTCTCCACAGATGCTACCAGACCTGCTGAGCTTTTCCAGAAATTTCTATTTTTGTTTCTGATTTACAGCATCTACAGTTCTTTCGGGTTTGATCCTTATTAGAGGGGGGAAATTGATAGTACAATGTGTAGGCAATGAGACTGCAACGCATACTGCCAAAGACCCAGCACAATCAGCACAGTGGAAGCTTCTCATCTTAAAAGCTGGTTCTCCGATCCCCTCATTTATTCCATGGTTTGAAATTTTGAGGGGGAAGGACAGATTCCTGTGACTCCACAAGAACAAGTGCTAACTGTCAAATCAAGTACTGTCAAATCTTACATGCATGCACTCAACCAGTGGAGATACCATTACTTGCACGGGTCTTGGCATGTGGCAGGATAGGGTGGTACTGGATGATGAATACCTGAGTGAGCAGGTGAAAAAGACAGACAGCTGAAGGCAGACCCCTCAGACAATGGAAGACATACAGTTCCACTCAACTGGTGAAGATGCAAGGAATTACATTTAAAATAAAGAAGTGTTATTTCTGATTTACAAAATCCTCACATCCAGGGCTCTGTCCTTTCCATGGCATAGGCTGCTCTTCATTGCCATCGTAGTGAAATCTAAGAGTAAGGCTCCCATTGCCATTTTGCTGCTGTGAGTTCAAGTAAACTCCCAATTGTGTCAGAAAGCCTTACCCGCATGCCCGCGCCCCCCCATCTCTTATGGCCATGCAGTGCCTTGAGAACAATGCCCCCATTGAGCTAGTTAACTCCTGCCTCATAACCTGTGTACATTCAATGACATCTGCATGCCATTGGCTTGATGCTCCTCTATGAGGATGATTTTGTTGTGCTATTGTGCACCTGACATTTAAAAAAAAACAGGGGAAACTACTCTTCAGATAGGAGTGTCTAAGTCTAACTGTTGACTGGAACAACACACAAGTTCAGGCTGACAAGTGGCAAGTAATTTCAACAAGAGATAATTAAACTGGGGAGGGGGAGTTACTGTCTTGACGAGAAGTTATTACCCATCTAAAACTGCCTTGAGAATGTGGTGATAAATTGTTTTCTTAAACCAAGGCAGTCCATGGAGTATAGGTACTCCAGCAGTGCCCTAAGGGAGGGATGATGTGGATTTTAACCTGGTGAGTGAATGAATGGTGTCATATCTCCAAGTCAGGATGGTGTATGGCTTGAAAGTGGTGGTTTTCTTATGATCTGCTGTCCTTGTCCTTCAAGGTGGCAGGAATGTCTTTAGAAATAATACTTTCAAACTATATTTGCAGTCATTTGGACAGATGTGGATTAATTAAAGAAAGCTAAGATGAATTTCTTCAGAGTAGTACTGTTTAATTAAGATTACATTTTTCAAACGAAGTAACAAAAGGTGCTAAGAGTAATGACGTGATGATGATGCATGTGGACTCCCAAAGATGTTTGAAGAAGTGCCACCTATTAGGCTCAAAGTTGAAACTAGTAGAACTGAATCGATAGTGGCTGTATATGTACAAGTTTGCCCAAGTGACAAAGTAGTGGCAAAGGATTGGTTTTTAGACTGGAGGAAAGTATAAGGGGTTTCCCAGGATTGGTATTACAGCTACAGCTTTAGTTGATGATATTAATGACCTCGATTCAAGTGTGCAGGGTACAATTTCAAAATCTGCAGTTGTCACAAAATTTCAAAGTATTGAGAGTGGTGAGGAGGATAGTGAAAGGCTGAAAAGAATATACACAGACTGGTGAAATGGGTGAACACTTCATGAGAAAATTAATGCAGTGAAGTACGAAGGGATATAATTTGGGAGGAAGAACAAGGAAAGGCAAAATGCAATTCCAAAGGGGATGCTGTGCAGAGAAATGAGAAGTATATGTGCACCAGTCACTGAAGTTAGCTGGACAGGTTGAGAATGTGATTCATAAAATATACAAGATTCAGGGCTTCATAAGTTGAGGTTCACTGTTCAGAAACAAGGAGGTAATAATGAAACTCCATAAAACACTTGTTTGGCCTCTCAACTAGACAGTTATGTCTAATTCTGGGCACCACATTTTGGGTAGATCATGAAGGCATTGGTGAGCTCACAGAAACAAGTTATGAGAATGATTCTGGGGATGACTGCCTTCAGTAATAAGGATAAACTGGTGAAGCTGGAATTCTCTTTGAAGACAAAGTCGAGTGGAGATTTGAAAGAAGCAGTCAAATCATGAGGTATTTAGCCAGGGTAGACAGAAAATGGACCAAGACCTAAAAGATACAGATCCAAACATCTAGTAAACAAATCAGAGACATGAAGGAAAAACAATCATCCAGCAAGTGATTGAGTTCTGGGACTCACTGGCTGGAGAAAAAAGTTCCAAGGCTAAGTGAAGAAGGCAGGGCTTGGAACTAGCCAAGAAGCTCTTAGAGACCCACCATGGACACAAAGGGCCAATGGCTGTAACCAGTCTGAAACTAAATATTTTCTTGGCTGAATCATAAATCAAATAACCCACTACAATGCAGTTTTATTTACTAGTCTAAATATTACTTCCTATTCCATCTTCAAAAGAATTAAAAGAATACCTCAATTTTTTAAAAATCAAATTAGGCACACGGGTAAAATGTCTACAAGCTAACATCAATTTACAGATATTATCATGTCAAACTATTCAAGTATCAAGATTAAGGAAGTTACCTGCTTTTTAGATGAACATGAAAAATTACTCTCTGTTGGTGAAGTTCTTCCATTTCCTGGATAAGAAATAACCAGTAACTAATATTTAAAAATCAGATCAATAAAACATGACCATAACAAGTCTTGCAATAAATAAACTGGACTGCAATTTGTTTTAAGAGTGAATCTAATAATGTTTGCTGTTACTTGTTTGCACTTTCTTCCCATTATAAATTCCTGTCACAGTATTAATAATGGAAGCTTCCAATTTTCATTTGACATCCTATAATATTCTCTTGCCAATGGTGCAGTGCGATGACTCAGTTTTTCAACAGCTCAGCCCATCCTGCATGAAAACTCCTATGGTCCAGACAATTACATAGGACATAGAACAGTATAGCACAGGAACAGCCCCTTTGGCCCACAATGTTGTGCTGAACATGATGCCGAATTAAACTAAATCCCTTCTGCCTGCACTTGGTCCATATCCCTCCATTCCTTGTATATTCATGCGCTTATCTAAAAGTCCTGTAAAACACCCCTACTGTATCTGCCTCTACCAGCACGTTCCACACTCCTAACACGTTGTTAAAAAGAAGTGCCCCTTATATCTCCTTTGAACTTTCCCCCTCTCACCTTGAAGGCATGCCCCCTAGTATTAGAGATTTCAACTTGGGGAAAAGATTCTGTCCATCAATGTCTATGCATCTCAATTTTATAAACTTGAGAGAAAACAACCCGAGTTTTTCTAGCCTCTACTGAAAGCTCATATCCTCTAATCCAGGCACCCTCTCCAAAGCCTCTACATCCTTCCTGTAATGTGGTGACCAGAACTGAATGCAATACTTGGGCTAACCAACTCTTATAAAGCTGCAACATGACATCCCGACTCTCATATTCAATTCCCTGACCAATAAGATAAGCGTGTCATATTCCTTCTTTACCACCCTATCTACTTGCATGGCCACTTTCAGGGAGCTATGGACTTAAACCCCAAGATCCCTCTGTATATCAATGCTGTTCAGGGTCCTGTCATCAACTGTATACCTGTCCTTTGACTCAGGTCAATATTTTTCAGTGCAGCACACTAGCAAATGTTAAGGCCAATACAAAGCAACATAATTGGTTTTAAAGATTGTGCTAGCATTGACTTGTTACATTAACAAACCCCTGCTTTCCAGAAAACCGGCCAACAATGGAACTCAAAATTGGAAGAACAATCTGTTCGTTTCTAATTTAAATCGATCCAATACTAAATCATTGAAAATAGATTCCTTTTCTTATTCCACCATCCCCCACCAGATTTTTTTTTATCAGCTCTAATCACCTATGCTTAATTGATCTGTTCTTTTACAACTCATGGTTGTAAAATTCATTCTTTCCTGTTATGCCACTTTCTATACATTTTTCATACTCTCACTAGCCAGCTTTAAAATGTTTTAGCTTCCCTTCTTTATTTTCCGTAATCCCTCAAATGAGTTTGATATTATTAGCTCTAGATAAGCTAGTTTCAATTTCAGCTGCTTTGGCAAAGACGATCCTTTTCTTAAGGTCAGATATGAGCCTGTTCATAATGGGTTCTACAACATGCAATAGTATAGTTCCTACATTAACAAAACTATCCCAACTCAGCAATCAGGAGGACACAATCAAAGTCTAGGCTTGAGATGACAAACGGGAGGCAACATTCAGACTGTAAAATCACCTAGAAGTCAAATAGAAAACTCTCTTCCATATCCTTTATCAGTACCACCATACTTCCAATTTCCAACTTCAACATCCAAGATTTTATCGTTAGCAGATATTAACTGGATCCGATATATCAACACAATATGTACAAAGGGAAAAAGCAGACTATTCTGAAACTAGTAGCTCACTTATTATACCCCCATCTTGCCCACAATAATGCCTTTCCATTTCCAACTGAACGCAGTGTCCAAATCTCACACCAAGTCTCTTGACATGAATGAATTTCATTATTGCAGGATCAGAATTCTAGAATTCCCAGTCTGACAAAAGCCTACCTACATGTTATATGGCTAACAATAAACAACAATAAACACAGCCCAGCAACATAGTTTTGTTCTCTGAATGTGGACAATTTGAAAAACACAGTGAAGTTAGTTATACAGTTGTCTGGCTAAAATAGTATGCTAATAGTGTGCAAGTCAACATTTATATTTTGAATGCAGTGCTATTTTACTCACGGATGGAAATTTTTTGAGGTACATCAAAAAGAAATTCTTCATCACTCCATTCTTCCTTGTCCTCAAATACTCCAGGATAATTCAAGCAGTTCCACCTATTGGCGATTTAAAATAATTAGACTTCAAATTGTACAAGTAATAGCACTGTTGTCTTTGAAAGAGAGACCTGGAAACTAGATCTTTCCACATGTAGCAAAAGTCAAAGACTATTTTAACCACTATTTCTCAGACTAAATAGTTATTTCTATCATATCCCAAAAGTGGAGTTATTTTACCAAAGTATAATGGTAATTCAATACATCTGGCCTATTATACATACCAATCAAATCGGTTTCAGTATACAAATCCACCAACCAGGTTTCTTTAATAAACAAGACTGTTGATTCAATATAAAACAAGACTTGTTCAAAAAAGATGCACAATATATTAATGCAGTTTGCAATGTGACAGAATATATATACATCCTTTTGAATAACCTAACATGCTCTCTCATACATTAAGGGGAAAAAGTACATTTTCTCTGCAGATATTGACTTTGATAAAAAAAAAAGCCAAACAATTGTTAGTTCTTGAAGAAAAAAGGATGAGATATGAAATGTTCTAGATGGCATTTTAATATGGACCTGGTACATGTATTGTGACAAACGCAATTTGTTTAGGAGATGTCAAGAGGAAGTCTTCTAGAAGCTTCTCAAGAGAAGATGACAATTGAGTTTTTCTAGCTCTTACAGTAGAGACTCAAAAAGGACCTTTTTTTCCAAAAAAAGGTGGGAGGAGGAGGATGATTTGGGTAGTTTCTGTCTTATTTGGCTAAAGCTCAATGGAACACCAAAACAATCTCAAATAGCCACAACTCCACACAGCCATAAACCTCAGATCTGTGACTTCTAATAAACTGGTCCACATGGTTGGGTGAACACATGTGACAATGAGAGTTCTGACTCATTATATTCCTGTTAGAGTGAAAGGTACAGCTGTTAGGGTTAAAGAACAACGGATGAATAAAGATAGAGGTTCTGGTCAAAAAATCTCTCATATTAGGTATGAACAACCAGGTTCAAATTAATCTCTTGAACATTTATAAAGACTGTAGGGGCATTCTTAAGAGGGAGATCAAAAAGGCAAAGAGGACATTACAAATAAATAAAAAACTTCAAGGTAATTAAGACAAGTTGAGTGAGTGAGCAAACACATGACAGATGCAGTACATGTTGGCTAAATACGAAGTTATACATTTTAGTGTGAAAAACAGAAGGGACCGAAATATTTAAAAAGGTAATAGATAATTTAAAAAGGTCACATATTCAGAAGTGTAATATATTCAGAACCCAAACTGATTTGGGTTTCCTTGAACATCAGTCAACGAAAGTAGATAGACAATGTGTAGCAAGCAATTAGAAAAGCAATTAGTCTTCATTGCAAGAGGATTTTATTTCACAAGTAGGGAGTTTTACTGAAGTTTTATAGGGCCTTGCTGAGATCACACCTGGATGTTGCATACAGTTTTGGTCTCCATACTTAAAAGGACGTACTTGCCATAGAAAGAGTGGAGAATCTCTAAGCTGATACTGAGAATGGCAAGTCTGTCCTATGAGGAGAGATTGGTTCAACTGGGCCTGTACTCACTAGAATACAGAAGGAATGACAGGGGTTTTGATTTAGAATTTGTGTTTCAGAGGGCAGGACAGACGAGATGGAGGATGAATATTTTACCTGGTTGATGAGTCTAGAACCAGGGAACAGTCTCAGGAAATGGAGTTGACCATTTAGGACTGAGGGGAGGAAAAATGTCAGTGAAAGGGGCACTCAAATTGTAGATTTCTCTATCCCAGAAGGCTACGGATGCCAAATCACTGAATATAATCAAGAAAGAAATTGATACATTTTTAGATATTAAAGGCATCAAGGGGTTATGAGGAGAAAACTAGAACATGGCATTGTGATAGAGGATCAGCCATGATCACATTTAGCTAGCTCAAAGAGTCAAATAGCTTACTCCTGTGCCTTGTTTCCATGGTTAGTCAACACGGTGGTGCAGTGGTTAGCACTGCTGCCTCACAACACCAGGAATATGGGTTTAATTCCAGCCTCAGGTGACCGTCTGTACGGAGTTTGCATATTCTCCCCATGTCTGCATGGGTTTCCTCAGGGTGCTCCAACAGTCCAAAGATGTGCGGGTTAGGTGGATTGGCCATGCTAAATTGCCCCTGGTATCTAGGGATGTGTAGGTTAAGTGGATTAGCCATGGGAAATACAGGGTTACAGGGATAGGTTAGGGGGATGAGTCTGGGTGGGATGCTCTGCAGAGGGTCGGTATGGATTTGTTGGGCCAAATGGCCTGTTCCTACACTGCAGGGATTGTATGTACGTATGTATGTTTCAATATTTGTACATCATAGAAAATTTGTGGGTTCCAAGGTAAAAGTATCATAACTAGCCAGAAGGAAATGAGAAACATAATTAGCTGGGCTCCCATTCCTGGGTATTATCTAGGGATGAAATGCACACATTTTTAAGGGATGGCAGGCATAAGAGAAAATAAATCCATGAGGCCAAGTTCAAATAACCTCGCAACACTTCCAATCCAGCTTCATTAATTAAAAAAACTCTTGAAACTAGGCAACAAATGGCTGCTGTTTCTCTGATGAAGTCCATTCCGCCAAAAGACAGTGCTTTGCAGCAAGGAAAAAGTGGATTTTTTTTTTTTTTTTTTAAAAAAAGTCCTAGAATTCAACATGTACACCAGTATTGTTTAACCTATAGTAGCTATTCTCTTAATTCTATACTTTCTTGGAAAACATACATGAATTTTACAGGTTATATAATTAGACAATGCTTACCGCTTGCCTTGTCGAAAGGTGGTTTCCTTATGTGAAATTTCTTTAAGAGGGCTGCCTCTCTTACGTGTCTGTATAGATTTCACATTATCTTGTTGAAATCCCAGTTCGTTTTTAGACTTGGTTACTGCATCAAGATATTCTACCTCATCCTGACTGTCTGGATCTATAATAAACCGAGAAACAGCCTGTATGCACTTTGCAGCTGGCTTGTCAGATTGTGGAGTAGCACTTTCCTCAACCACCTGCTTCTTGTATCTGGTCATATCTTGTAATTTGCTGTTTCTAACCATTTCAAAATCCAATTCATCTATTTCTTTAAAAGATGTCAATGGATCCACTTCTAATTTATGAAGGATGCAGAACGCCGTTTGTAGGGCTATAAAGCTGCTTGGACAGCCAGGCTGAACTTCCACTCTAAAAAGAATTTAAAAAAGGATTATTTGTAGTTTCAAAATAAACACTATACACTTCTCTTCCCCTCAAATATACGGAAGTGGGGGGCAGGGGGGTGGAAGGAATATATCAGCCGATATTTCAGCGCCTGAACCGTAACCAAGATGTTGATTGTATGACCTAACATATAAGCGCACCTCTCCAGTTAAAATTATTCATGAGCATTTACCATCTCTTCTCAGACACAAGGAACAAAATGCCACTGTGAAGTTGCAAGTTGGAAGTGAAAAAATCAAGTTTTGTTCTTAAAAGAATTGCCATAGCTACTTCAGCTGGCTAGGCTGTTTGAAGTTTTGCATTCCCCCTGCAAAATTTCCAAGCTTGAAGAATAGCAGTTTTGGGCAAAACATACTACTTTCCTTTCAAACTCTACATGGTAAAAACAAGAATGGAGAAACAGGCATTTTTTTTTTTTTTTTTTAAAAAAAGAGATAGCTTGAACAGAATGGGAGTTTTTGTCTGAAAACATTTAAGACTGTATATTTCTAATTCTGGAACCATTGATATGAATAAAATGTTGAACCAACTGGTTTTAGTTTGTAACATAGAAAGCATTAGGATTCTGTCTCATCCGAATTGCACCCTGACAAGCACTCTGCAATGAGCATGTCAAGGTGCAATCAGATTAATATGTGAATCCAATACTTCACAAGCTGCAAATTAAAACCGGCAGGTGCAACTTTTGGTCTATCCCTCATAATAAAATGGTTATCTATTTAGTAATTTTTAACCATTTACAGAAAAGTTAAAGTATCACAGTAGGTCAATAAAGAATCTGCAGCATGGGAAAGTCCAACATTTGTCTGTCCCTGAAATAACAACTCTCCCCAACAACATTCCATATTCTAATTTAA